GAACTGGCACAGGACAGCAGACACGAGGGGATTATAAACTGTAGTAAATTAACACACAAACAGATGAACATAATTAACTAATTATGGAGGAACAAGGAGGGTGGGAAGTGACAATAGACAGGAGAGTGCATGACACAGAGACAACACAAGCCATGCGCTCACATAAAACAGGACAAGAACATGCAGCCAATGAGAGAACTCATTAACCGCATGTCCATGACAACATAAGCACAACACTAAAGAACACAACAAAAGCACGTGACCACAATGTAAACATAGAGCCACGTGCTTTGACAACAGACACAAGACATGAGCACACAATAGATACACCTTCCCGTGTGCTCACACATATACAATGTGCATGCTTCATCTCAGCATCAACCAAAATGAAAGCAACTTGACGAAGACGCTGAGAATAAATCAGCGCGATTCCGACAGAACAACACAAACACGAGTACAAGAGCGCGTGCGTCCGAGGCACGCAGAGCCTGCATCAAGCCGGATCGCGCATGCTCCGCGCACATCCACGAAGGCGGCGCACACGGAGACACACACAATGACAGAAACAAGTGCTTGACCCTAGAAAACTCGAGCCGAGCACAACAAGACAGGACTAGACAGGACTAGTGTCCGGACTCTGCCAAAAAAACAAGAATTTACATGACCAGAGTGGCAGAACCCTGACAGATGGATCTCAAATCTCATGGTTACACTACTGTTTTTGAGTCACGGATTGGACCATTTTTCGGATCAGCTAAAAAGGACGGACACAAATGTAATTGGCTTTCCATTTATACAAAAATATTGCTGCAAAAAACATTGGCTTTAACAAACATAACTTAAAATCTGTCATTTTAATAAAAATTTAAAAGCAAGAAATAATCAGCTAAAAAAAAAGAAATTATTCAATACGAAAAATTATCTTTGCTACTGTTGCTGAAAATGCTAAATATAGAAATCTAACATCTTGTACAATGTATCAAATTTTATTTTCAGTTAATGATTCAACATATCACACATTTATTCATTCATTTTCTTGTCAGCTTAGTCCCTTTATTAATCCGGGGTCACCACCGTGGAATCAACCGCCAACTTTTTCAACAAGTTTTTACGCAGCCCTTCTGTTATTTTTACATGTTTTTTAGGTCAACAGACAACAGTATCAGCAGAAAAGAACCTACACATCAAAAGTTACTGGTCTGATTCTTACCTAAAGTGACTTATTTTACGAAAACCTTTCTAAAAAACAGTAAGAAGTAGTCACAATAACATTTGCATTATGCTATTAACATTACATTAGCTTACTACTAACCTGTGGAAAGGCTGTCATCAAAATCAGGGAATACCTTTTTTCTGGGTTTGGGGCTTGTGACTATTTTTACATGGACATCAGTGATCTAATGATTTGCCTTAAGCTGAATAAGACAATAATATGATTCAGATGTTTACATGAGTTGCTTTTTGAATGTTCCATTCATGATTCCCAGTTACATGTTATAGCACATAGATCCAGTAACGTCATTGCGTCACCAGCCTATAAATATTTCCTTCGCAGTTTGTGTCTGTGGTTCTTTAAGATAATCAAAATCACGATTTACGTGGTACCCTTGATCAGAGTATTGTCTTATGGTGCTTTCACATCAGTTTTGTTTTGAAACAGAGATTAAAATTGTTACATTGTTGCACTTTGTTCTTGGTGGGGTTCGCTTTCACATGGCACAGTTTCTAAACTGACCAAAAGAGCTAAAACAAGTCACATGCGAGTAAACTCTTCTCAAATTGGTCAGAGTTTCATGGTTTATTTTGCAAAGTCCCGCTTAGCTGTCATGCGTCCCTATTTTAGTTTATGGCAATGAGCATAAGCAAAAATCTGTGCTTTAATTTTGAATGGTGACACCCACTGACATCATCACCAGATTTAAATCAGAGGTAAAACTTTGTCATACATAGCCCTTGGCTAGATTTATGCATTATATGCTTTACAATATTGAAAGAAATAACAGATAAACTAAAGCTGCAGTTCAGTCAGTTTATTTAACAGATAACCAGCTCTCTTTATTAGTTAGCATGCTTTCACTTTTGCATTTAACTTGAAATGCACATTTACCAGTAGGAACGTCATCCCCCCTACTCATAATTCTCTCTTCTTAAAGCCGTATATGTGGCTATTACACAACTATAATAAACTGTGAATAATACATATATATTAATACATAGCTGGGCTCAGATCATTTTGCTTTTACACTACAATCGATCCGCTCCATAGTTTGTTTCAATCAAGCCGAAACCACCTCATTCAGGCAATCTCGGACCAATAGTTTTGCCGCGGATCAGAGCGTGATTACTGGATTCACATATGCCAAACGAACCACGCTAACTGGGCAAACGGGACAGGTTTCGTAACAAAAGTCTAGGTGTGAAAGCACCCTTTATCATATTAAAATCGGAGTATTGGTGTCCATGTAAACGTATTTACTGAAAGTGCTAGATGATGTCCTTACCTTTAAGTTGGTTCCATGAGCCCTCAAATTTCATAAGTTTGACGTGTTTCCCCCCTACACGCAGCTCTTTTGTAAAGCATCTGCTGCATGTTGATGTGTCAGAATCCCAGCGCCTGACATTGCTGAGGGTGTCTGTATTCCTCAAAGCTGGAATTAGAGATGGCGTGACAACGCGTACTTATGTGTACCATTGATCCACCCCTTGATGCTTCTTACGTTCTTGTTGCTGCACCAGTGGCGCCAGAATTAGGCACCGAAACTCATATGCTGATTCGGTCTGGTGCATACTGGTTACATGGCACTGGGTTTTAGTACCCAACTCTAAATTGGTCCTATTTAATGTGAAAGCAAGTTAGCATGTTGATATGTTTACTTGTTTGGCATGATGAGGTTTACTGACCTAGTAATACCTTTGGTAGTATCTTGCCGCTTGTTATAAACTGCCTTTTCCAAGACTAGTAAAATCTTTTTAAACATCACAAGAAAGTAGTACTCGGGTATTTGATTTCTTAGAATAAAACTTTTTTTAAATTCCTTTGACTTCAGGGCGATGAAAACAGAATAAAATTTCAGGTCTTATTCAGAAAATAAATAACAGCAGGGATGAAAAAACTATATTTCTTGTCTTTTTTGGAAGAATATTAGCTATATTTGCAGTTAGGCATGAGCCAGTATAAGATTCTGATAGTGTGATAACGTTGAATAGAAATATCACGGTTTCACTGTATCACGGTATTGAGATTACTGCTCTAAAATATATTCTTTTTAAATGTCTGGGTATAAAACAAACCTTTTCCCCTTTCGTGCACAATATATATATATATATATATATATATATATATATATAAGCAGTAAACATGTCAGGCTAATTAATTCAAATAAATTGTTGACTTCTGCTGTCTTCATTAGTTTCAAATACACTGATTTTTTTACAATTTAAAATGGCATCTTTGGAGATCTTTTCTGCTGGAAATACTGTTATCCTAAAAAATGTAAATAAAAAATCTTACTCATACATACTCATGCTAGGAAGGGTATAGCAGGATATTTTGACGGTTTTAAAACGTTAACTTTTTCAAACTGCGGCATACCTTATCTTACGGTTATCATCCCTTGCCTATTTGCACTAGGGCTGAACAATATTGGAAAAATTTTATATTGTTACATATATACATATACAGTTTCACAAGATAGTTTGAATAGGGTATATGCAGAAGATGCAGAAGGACTTTTTTGCAGTATATTTTGTATATAGACCCAGGATATTTTGCAGTATCCTGGGTCAAACGCTTTTAGTAAACCGTATGTTGTTACAAAATTTTCTATAAAAATCAACAATCCTCAGTGCCTGAATAATAAATTATACGATATACGATATAAAGTAGGTCTCAGAATGTACAAGAAACACTGCATTAAATACAAATTTTCTGTGCCATGTCTTTAAAACATGAACATCTAACATGAAAACGTGAATATCTAATTTTACACTTAAACAACTAAATGAACGATGTAGTTTATTTAACTGATTGTATTTTAATTACAATACAACATCGATGCTGTAAAAGGAATTGTATAAAACTGAAAAAGTCACATTAACCTTTCCCCCGGAAGTTTATTGGATTTATGGGAAGAAACACTAGCTGTGCATAAACCCTATAGCTCTATTAACTCTATTATAACAGTATTTAGGTACAAAAATTTTATAATCACAATGCAACGAAAATGCTTTTCTTTCCTTGCTTTATCTTTAGTCCAAATATTTAAAAATTCTAAGATCAAGAAAAAATATTGTTGTTTTTTTCATCTTTAAAAGTAATAAGTCAAAATAAATAGTTTTTTCTTAAAATAAGGGAAATTATCTGCCAATATGGAAAGTAAAATAATCAAATTTTCACTTTGAAATGTAGATATTTAGACTAGAAGCAAAACAAAACAAAAATATTTTTTGCATTAATTGTATACATTCTGTATAAATAATTAGATAAAAGAACATCACAATTTCTTGTGCTCAAATATTCTAAACTGTCTAGAAATGCTCAGTCACATGCCTAAGAAACACATGCAAATTATAAACCTTTACTCAATCATGGTTAAAGTGACTCTACAAATCACATGTATTCTGTAGCTCCTGGTCAACTATAAATTAGACGCAACATTGCATATCTTGCGTTGTGACTATTGCAGATGCACGCATTGCGATATCGATGCTGTAACTATATATGGTGCAGGCCTAGTTTGCAGAATACAATGTATTTTGTGCAATATCCAGTAAAAAGTTGGGTAATATTCCAATCTGAATGCAGTCTGTGCCCACTGTTTCATGTATTATTTGGCAATTATGCTTGTATACTAATAAGTGCACTTAAATGAATAGATGCTGCTTCAGTGCATTTATCTAACCCAGGAAACAGCAGGTGAAACAAAGTGTATTTCATCATGGGATGAAGTTTTTATGGCATTGTTATTGATGCAAAAACACATCTCTCTTTTTATGTTCAGAGCCAGGCATGGCGCTGTGGATTCAGGCACAGCAGCTTCAGGGGGACGCCCTTCATCAGATGCAATCCCTCTATGGCCAGCACTTCCCCATTGAGGTGCGCCACTACTTGGCACAATGGCTGGAGGCTCAACCATGGTGAGTGTCTCTATGCAGACTCTGTTCTAAGATCAAAATAAAAGGGATGTAATATGCAAGCAAGGCTTCCCAACAAAACCATCACAAGATGTGCAAAGACAGATTTACAAGATAATATGAATGTCACATAACACATAATTTTGTTCCCTTCGTTATTATGGTTATCCATATATTAGACATTGCAAATCTGAAAGTAAATGCTTCATCTACATGTGGTTTTCAGACCTAAAAAATTGCAGAAACTACATGTCCATTGATTTTCTTAACAGCGTTAAAAACAATGCATCATAGAAAGCTTGCCATTTGTATGATACAAAAGTGCTTTATTCCGCTGCCATCTGGGTCCTTATTACACAGTTAAATGTCACAAAACTAAGCAATTGGACACAAAACATGATGTAAGCTGTAATATTTTAGCTCTTTAATAGACGGAATACCGAAGATGTAAAACAAACAAAACAAAAAAATAGCTGGATACAGCCTACTTGAGCTATATATTATCATTATTATTCAGCCACAAGATAGCACAGTCAACATTCAAGAACAACAGAGTGACAGATTAGCAAAAATGAATATATGCACTGACTGATGTTTAAGATATACCCTGGTGAGCCTGTGTTTTTAGTTTAATTTAACAGCTGGTAAACCAGTTAAGCTTTATTGTTTATTCTGCTAAAACTATATGCCTGGATTTACTTTATTCCTTATTTAACTGCTATTTAATTGCCAAAAGTACAAATAACATTTTTCTGATGTCTTTACTGAAAAAAACAATTGTGTTCTGGAAATATAAACAATTATTTTTTGGGAAATAAGAATACTAAGTGTTCAAATTTTAAAAGCAGGTTTTTGGATTTTCTTCATCTATTTTATTTTTTTTACAATATTCAAGTCAAGTCAAGCTTTATTGTCATTCCTGTACATGTGTGGACATACAGAGGAATGAAATGTAGTGTCTCACATGAAAATTGTGCTACAAAATTAATCATCAATACAAACACAGAACACTGGCGCTATTTTTAAAAAACTGTGCGTAATTAACATATATTATAAGATATCTAACTATACACATAAGACAGGCTATACAAGTACTTTTACATGAGACTGGACAATGTTGTGCAGGATATTGTGCAAGAGAGGTATTAAAGGTGAATATTGTGCAAAAGAGGTTTTAAGGGTTTAATATTGTGTAAAAGAGGTATTTAAGGTTTCCTATTGTGCAAAAGAGGTATTTAAGGTTTAAGGCGAAAAATTGTTGTCATGCGGCCAGTTTTCACAGCAAAATGTTCACCACATGTGCAGATTTAGGAGGCTTTCAGCCACTAGGCATCTTTGCACCTAAAAGCACCAAACACAGCGCTCAGGAATGGTTTAAAACAGTTGTCATGTCAACTTGCTGCAGTAAACGAAGACTGCAATGCTTGCCCTGCTTTCAAGCTCTTATTATTGGCCCCGTGCGCTAGAACAGAACATGAATGGATTTGTTAATATTAGCTGTCAATCACTCAGTTCAGATGACTGGGAGCTCCAGCCACGAAAATGTAAAGGTCTGGATCAGAGAGAATAAAAACAACACAGACAAATTAAGTTTTAGAAACTACCTAAATTTACAAACAATGGCACATCTGATTAGTGATCATGTAATAAATGTCAATCCAGCATTTACACTTTTTAAAGAGTGGATAAAAGACTTTCAGTGGGTTAAAGTCCGCTGTGAAAATGACTAAAGCATTCACCGTAAAGCCCGTAGGACAGAGTTTTCAGGCAACAGTGTTTGCCACAACTACACATTTTAAGCATGAAATGTTCTAACGTTATTTAGGCCCAATCCCCATTCTACCCCTTAGCACTTACCCTGTCCCAATTCTCTTTAGCTTGAAGGCATAGAGCTAAAGTGAAGGGGTAAATAGCCCTTCAAATGAAGATTTTTCAGGACCACACTCAACCAAGGGGTAAAAAAAAATTTCCGAGAGTACACCAGACACAAAAGCAGGATCGCAGCTCCCGGAAGTAAGGAGATCCACAAATTTGTAATATTTGTCATTATTTTGAACTTTTACAACAATCAAGCATATGTTTTAATATATTCATAACCCTGTTTGTGTTTTACCGTCATGCGTTAAAAAAACCTGTAAAAATAGTAAAATAAAAACTAATAAATTTCGCAATCTATAATCCATAATCATAACTCCTGTATAGCAGTCCCACAACATTCTGACACTCAATGACAGTCGAATACTCTGTCAGTAATGTTTAGTGTTGATTTCAAATGCAATAAATCTGTTTATCTAAAACGTGTAGTAATGGTGTGACTTAATTTTGAAGCTAGAAGCACCGGTGCTACTAAGAAAACAAGGTTACTTTCGAGCCCTGATTAAACAGTTACATTTATTAAAATAATATTTTAGTCACTGAACATCTTTAGAAATAGTAAGATAATACATTTCAGTTAGTGTGAAATATTGCAAAAAAAATTGCAGACAACAAAACTGTGTATATATGTTTTTTTCTCTTGATTTTTTTCTATTTTCTTTTCTATTAAATTATTTTTTTTTATTCCCTAACATATAAATTTGTGCTATTTGTTCTTAGACCGTTATTTTGTTAGATTAGCTCCAGATTTTGCTTTAGTACTGACTTATCTAATCACAAATATTATATTGTTAAGCATCTTATAGATAATCTAAATTTAAATTAAATGAGAGGGTGTTCTCATGTATGCTCTGTATTTTAGTTCGTGGAAAACCTTGATTCTTTAGAATTTTACATTGAGAATTTGTATTTGTTTGACTATTCCTTCATGACATGCTTGTCATTGAAAACACTCAAATTTTTTATTTTATTTTATTTTTTACATGTTTTATTCTTCACTTAAATTAAGGTTAAAAAAAATTAACAGATTACTTTTTCTGAACTGGGGTTACAATAAAGCCTGCGGACTCTCGCAGTAGGGCATGAAATCCACTGAAGTGTTATTGTATGGTGTGCAGGGATGCCATAGATCTGGAGAACCAGCAGGATGAGTTTAAAGCCAAGCGTCTGCTGGATGGTCTGATCCAGGAGCTGCAAAAGAAAGCAGAGCATCAGATGGGTGAAGATGGCTTTCTGCTTAAAATCAAACTTGGCCATTATGCCACACAGCTGAAGGTATGAGCACCAGATGACAACATATGAAGCTGATCAAACAACCATGAAACATAATGTACCTTTATTACTGAGGTCCAGTGAATATTACTCTTCCCTTACAGTAGAGGTTACTTGATCCTTCAGAAATCATGCTAATAATGTGCTTGCTTTCTCAGTAATTTTTTCAGTTATTGATTGTGCTCAGTTGATAATTGCTCCTTAATATTTTTTTGTAAAAACCATGCCACATTGTTTCAGGATTCTTTAAATAAAAAAAAATATTAAGCCCCAAAAATATTTAATTATAAGGAGTACATCACTTACATCAATTCAAATAAAAAAAGATGTAATAAATTGTAATAATGTTTGACACTATTACTTTTTACTGCATTTTTTAATACTTTAATTTTATAAAATTTTTTAAGAAAGGAAAAGGAAAAAATACAAATAATAAAAAAAATAGAAAGTACAAAAACACCTCGGAACTTAAATGAACAGTTGACTGGTCACATATTTTCTTACATGTCACATTAAAAAATATATATAGATCAGTTTACACTGTGTAAAGGCATAAGTATTTTAAACGTTAGAAACAATATCCAACCATTCAGATTTTGTAGGGAAATCGAGTTTTAGACACTTTCGATTTACAGTTTTCTTACTGGTTGCTAGAAGTATTTTTAATAAATACTTGTCTTTTACCATTAAGTTGGTTGCAATATTTCCCAGGTAAATTGTAGTAAAAGAAAATTCCACTCCATCCCTAAAAATATTTCATATTACTTGCATTACATCCTGCCAGTATGACTTAATCAGAAACAGAATCTAGGCAATGGCTGGTCAACTCCAATATATGTGAAAATGGTTTGCTAAGTCTTCTTCATATTTTCTCCAACACTGCCCCGTGTTCTTCGCCTTTGTTTGCATGCATGTTAACTTGGGGGTTATTAAAGTGTCACGAAACACCAAAACACATTTTTTGAGCTGTTGACAGTCATATATGTGTCCCACACTGCTAAAAACACTATTAGGACACCTATATTTCACTAAAAAGTGTAAATTGGTTGTTTTTGCGTTATTTCAAGCAAATTTGTACTTCCTGTTTGAAACGAATTTTTGAAGCTGCGTCACGGTCATGACATAATAGCGTGTATTCCAGCGTGCAGACTGGGCGTCTGTGCCAGAGTGAGTCTTATTACGTCTTACAGTGTGATGCATTAATGCATGAGTAAGGCTTGGGTCAAACCAATCAGCGCGCTCTATTGTGCTTCTTTATTAATATTCATTATTGTCACAGTGTTTACACCACAAAGACGCCACGTTGTGTTGGCAAAACAAGCGTGAAGTGTTGCTTTTATAGTTTGCTGCTGTTAAGTTTCGTTTTCATTTTCTCTCTGTGAGAGCTTATCTGGATCACGTGTGGATTAACAAAGTACGCGACGCGCGACAACAATAATTTACGTGTCTAAGGAGGATTATTGTTTACCTGAGAGCTGTTCTCATCTGCAAACGCTGAAATCTGGATTTGCTTGTAGTATTCTCTTCATAAAGACGCGGCTCTAGTTGCTGGTGATTGTCCTGTCTCTACAGATTTGGTAAGTGAGCGACCAGTGCTCTTTGTTTATTCAGTTTGTTCGTATCGAATTAAGTTAACTATTGCACTGAGTGCAGAAATGTTAGCACCGCATTTTGTGACCGGAATAACACACGCGGCTTTCTGACGCTACCTGCCGTGTGCATCTAAGTTTCCGGGAAATGCATTTTTTTTTTCTCTCATTTGCCGTGCGGTATCAAACATTGCATGAAAAATACACGCTTGCAGCAGTTCCTCGAATCAAATATCTCGTTTGTCACGAGAGACATGAATGAATTCCCTGAATGAAAGAGCCAAACTGCAGTTAAAGTCCAACATTTAATAATTTGGCAAATAATTCGACTACAGATGTCCCTGTAGGTTAAACACCATCCCTTTCTCCTGTCTGTGTGGGTGTGTATTTTGACTCTGAAACTCGCGCGTGCACAAATAGACACTCCCACACCATCCCACTTTAGTTCCTCCGACACTCCCCCCTAAACAGAGCTGGACACGCCCACTTTTCTGACTTTTTCCAAAGTAGAGGTGTGAAAACACCCTGCTGAAACGAGGGGGTTTCATGGCCCTTTAAGTATTTGGTAACATTCTTCCAGCAAAAATCTCCCACATACCAGAGCTAGAAGAGGTGGCTTGTACTCAGCAGATATTAAACCAATCTTCCTCTGAGATAGCTAAGTTGGATTCTCTCTCCCATTTTAGTCTGATGTCATTTGTTAAGTGTTCCTTGGTGGATTCAGGGACGGCCCGTGGCATAGGCAGTATAGGCAAATGCTAAGGGCGCAGTACATCCTTCTGAATTCTATCGAAGTCCCCATTTGTGCTGCTTTGTAATAGTCAGACAAGCTTGGCAGTGAGTCTATATCAGATTTTATATTTATATTCTTATTTATAGGGCCATAATTACTATCAAATAATTGTGTAGTAACTTAAAGTTATTTTATTACCTAAATACTTAATACTTGTTGAATTCCATTTGAAATTAAATTTATTTTACATATCTTTCTGAGGAAAATAATTAAAGCTCAAAATTTGTGTTGAATATTTAGCTTATATCCAGAGTAGGTGCCGAATTTATTTAAAACTGACATCAGCGTAGGGATACTAACTTCTGGTGTTCCAACAAACAAAAGAACATCATCTGCATACAGGCAGATCTTTTGCTCTAAACTGTTATTCCTTTAATTCCCTGTTCGTCTCTTACTAATTGTGCCAAAGGCTCAATAAATAATGCAAAAGAGTAGGATTGAGGGGCAGCCTTGACGACAGTCTTACTGCATTTTTAATGAAAAAATGTTCAGACTTGCTAAACATAAGAGAAAATAAAAAGAAATAAATTGTATTTCTGTTGTTGCTTATTATTGTAAGTAGTTTTCTGCTTAAAAATGATTTAAATAATTTAATTAATTAATTTTTTAAAAAAAATAATTTCATTCAAACTGTAAAACATTTCACTAGAATTCAAGGTCTGTTTCACATGAATTCATTTGTTGAATGAAATTTATGCCCACAAAGATCAGATTTTGATGTTTTTTATAGAACTCATATGATGCTTGCCCCCTGGAGCTGGTGCGGTGTGTCAAACACATTTTGTACACCGAACAAAGACTTGTACAGGAAGCATCTAATGTAAGTCGCCTGCACATTTTTTGGTCGTTGATCTCCACCTACAGTGTTACATTGGGTTGCTAAAGAGGTAAATGACATGTATGTTACATGTTTGTATGTATGTGTCATTCAGACCAGCAGTCCAGGTTCAGGTCCGGTTGATGGGACCCCACAGAGATATCAGCAAATCAACCAGACGTTTGAGGAGCTGCGCGTTATGACTCAGGACACAGAGAATGACCTCCGCAAGCTCCAGCACAGTCAAGAATACTTCATCATTCAGTACCAGGAGAGTTTGAGGATACAGGGTATGATCATACAGCATCTCATCCCGCACATGTAATTTATATATTTTATAATATACACAGTGGGTTTATGATGTAATAATCCACAAATACATTGCTTGATTGATGAATACTTGATTCTGATTGAGTAGCAAGCAAAACCTTAACACCGTAAATGTGAAAATAACATCCATTTTACATATATTGAAATGTTTTTTTGCTTTAATGGTGGCAGCATGTAAAAGCAACTTAATAGCTACTTAATAGGTGTTTTCAGATAGTAGTAATTATTATAATAATTATAATATTTTTCTAATATTCTAGTATGTGCTGTGGAATTCAAATACATTCCAAGCAAGCAAAAGATCTGTCCATCTATTCATCCATCCATCCATCCATCCATCCATCCATCCATTCATCCATTCATAACTCGCAAAATGGCTAGTAACATTAATGTAATGCCGGACATCCCAAGTCTCCCGGAAGTTTTGGGAGACTCCCAGATGCCCGCAAACGAATAATCATCTTCCGGAAATCGCGAGTCTCCCCCCGGTCCTTAAAAACGTCGCACAACCCCTCTACACGTGTTTCCATGCTGGAAGTAGCCATTAGAAGATAAGTACACTGTGGTCATAAAGGGATGGACATGGTCAGCAACAATACTCAGATAGGCTCTGGTGTTGACACAATGCTCAATTGGTACTATTAGGCCAAAAGTGTGCCAAGAAAATACCCTCCACACCATTACACCACCAGCCTAAACTGATGATACAAGGTAGTAATGTCACAGCAGAAAACGAGACTCATCAGACCAGGCAACATTCTCTTTTCCAAATTTGATGAGCCTGTGTGAATTGTAGTCTGTTTTCTGTTCTTAGCTGACAGGAGTGGTGCTCGATGTGGTTTTCTGCTGCTGTAGCCCTTCCGCCTCAAAGTTCTGGCCATTCTCCTCTGACTTCTGCCATCAAAAAGGCATTTTCACCCACAGAACGTCCACTGAAATACTTAGAACAGCCCTTCTGGCAATAACTGTCACGTTCAAAGTCACTTAAATAACCTTTCTTTTTTATTCGGATGTTCAGTTTGAACTGCAGTGATCGTCTTGATGCCTAAATGCATTGAGTTGCTGCCATGTGATTGGCTGATTAACAATTTGCGCTAATAAGCAGTTGGACAGGTGTACCTAATAAAGTGGCCAGAGAATATACTAGTACTCAACATTTGAAGTGGTTCAAAAAAGAATTTTAAAATCGCTTAATACAAGAATGGGTATTAATCAATCAATTTAGGACAACTTTGACGAATGGTTTTGATCCATTTGATCCAAATGTTGACTACTATATAAATGAGATTTGTTTGTGTGTCTGTATGTATGCATGTACACACATAAATATTATGTGTACAAAGTCTTATTTTGGATGCAAGTAATCATTTGACAGCACAAATTTTAAACCATTTCTTTGATATCTCCTCTGGTTCGAGTAGCTCAGATAGTTAGTCTGGCCAGCCTTCCTCCTACTGAGCGTGCTCAGAGAGAAGCGAGTCTGCAGAGCAGGAAGTCCACGCTAGAGACCTGGCTGACACGAGAAGCCAACACTTTACAGAAATACAGACAGGTACACTAATTCAACACACATTTTCTGGAAATCAAGAGCAATTTTCCATGATATTTTTTAGTGTTTGAAAAATGTGATGTGTGTAGGAGCTGGCGGAGAAGCATCAGAGGACCCTCGCTCTGCTGAGGAAACAGCAAACCGTGATTGTTGACGATGAACTGATCCAGTGGAAGAGACGACAGCAGCTTGCAGGAAATGGAGGACCATCAGAAGGAGGATTGGACATACTGCAAGCCTGGTAAGGATTCACAGTATTTACATGTTCGCTGGGCTGTCTGAGGAAATACCGTGGATTTTGTTTTGTGCAAGCTCACTTATAATTATACTTTCATTATTAAATAAAAAAAAAACTAACAAAAATGTCATTATTATTTTAAGAATAATCAGAGTTTATAAAAAAATAAGAGTTTTAAAAACTTTTAAACCTTAAAGTAAAATTTTTAGACCTTAAAAAGTCTTAAATTTACTGAAATATTGTGTTGTAGGTCTTTAATCTTTTTTAAACCGATCTTAAAATTCCTTTGTTCATTTATAGCTACCTGATCCAGCCAAAACCCATACAATCACCAGAAATCTCAAAAAACTTTTAACTTTTCTTTAAAAAGGTAATTTTTAACTGTATTTATCATAATGGTTTAATTATTTTCATTACAATAACATTTTTTATAGTTCTCCGTGTATTTACTGCTGAGGACACAGACCTGGAGTGGAATTGTTGTGCATGGATTTAGTTTATTATAGTTTTTAAAACTTCTAAAAGTTTGTTCATTTTTATTATTTTAAAGAAAGTTTATGTTGGAAAAAGATGTATGAATACAAGTAGAGCTTGCTTATTTTTACTTAATATTTAAAATAATTTGCTAAAAACATCTAGAATAATATTATTTTTTATCATTTATTTTAATTTGTATTATTAAATGCATGAAATTATATATTTTCATTTGATAGGGCAAATAAAAATATATTCCCCTTGAACCATTTGAAAAACTTTTAGCCTTTTATGAGACTAAAATTTTATTCATAATGGTCTTAAAAATGTCTTTAAAGACTTAAATTTAATTTGGTGAAACCTGCAGAAACCCTGAATAATACATGTCTGATCAACAGCATTTTTTTCTGTGAAGGTGAGACTTAAAGGGTTAATTCACCCATAACTGAACATTTTGTCATTATTTACTCATTCTTGACCTATCACAAACTGGTTTAAATTTCTTTCTTGTCTGTTTAACACAAAATAAGTTATTTAAAAAAAATGTTGTAAACCCGTAATCATTTATTTCCATAGTATTTGTTTTTCCAAATATGGAAGTCAATGCTTACAGGTTTCCAGCATATTTTTTAAATACTTTCTTTTGTGTTCAACAGAAAAGGAAAAATCATAAAGGTTTTAAACCACATGAGGGAGAATAAATGGTGAGTAATCTTTCATTTCGGGGTGAGCTATCCCTTTAAGTGAGGATTTACTTTGGTGTCCTGAAAAATAATTTTTTTTTGTTTCTAGTTTTACATTTGTGACCATCATTCAATAGTGGCCTGTTTCCATTGAGTATGAAACGGTATGGTTCAGTATGCTTTGGTTCTGTATGGCCTTTTCCACTGTCAAAAGATACCAAAAAGCAAATGCTTCCTTACCACCCTTTTGGTACCCTATCCAAAGGGTACCTAGCACAAAAAAAGGGTACCAAAAGGCAGAGCTAGACGCACAGCTAAACGCTATTGGTTTACAGAAAAACGTCACTAGCACATAGACAAGCCAGGAGAACAAAAACAAAGGGAGCACCATTTTAAAATACACTGCCGAGCCATTACACCATAATATTAATTCATTCATTTTCTTGTCAGCTTAGTCCCTTTATTAATCCGGGGTCGCCACAGCGGAATGAACCGCCAACTTATCCAGCAAGTTTTTTATGCAGCAGATGCCCTTCCAGCCGCAACCCATCTCTGGGAAACATCCACACACACATTCACACACACACTCATACACTACGGACAATTTAGCCTACCCAATTCACCTGTACCGCATGTCTTTGGACTGTGGGGTAAACCGGAGCACCTGGAGGCGTTCAGCGCGCGTCTGTAGTTGAAATAACAAGGTTCTTAAACTAATAATAATAATAACCTGCGCGTAGGGCTGGGCGATAATTCGATATCGATAATTATCACGATATAAAATTTTTCGATAAAACGAAAATGACAGTTCGATAATTGCTCGATAATATTTTCGCACTATGCATAACTTTGCGGAAGCATTTTGCAGCCTGCCCTTTCAGATGCCGCACACCGTACAAGTTTAAAGCCATACAGTGTTAGTTGCTCTAAAATGAGTAAGAAAGAAATAAGGTAAAAAAGGTCAGAATCACAGACACTGTTGACAAGAAACGTCACTAGAGTTCATGAGCTACTTAGTTTTTCACTATCCGACACAAAACAGAGCAACGTGCACCGCTAACTGAGCAGACGAATCGTATCATCAAAAGCAGGCAACACCACGACCTGTTTCACCATGTAAAACAAGACCACCCTTATGAAGATGCTTACAGACCTAAACAAGTGTTAGTAAACCAATGCAGCTACCCAGCAGAGTCTCATGTCATCCTTTTCGAAAGCCGTGCCTTACGAGAAACCCCCCCCCACCACCACCCCCCCCCTCCCGAAAAGACAGACACAAGACATGATAGAGGACACAATCTCAAACACATCTCAATGAACACTTGATGCTTGCTGTAAACTACAGGCTGCATCATTTATTTGTTACGACAATGATAGGATCTTTTGATGTCAAGCTTATGTTTTCTTTTTAATATTAAAGTATATGTTTTGAAATCTGTAATATTGTCTCTCATCGACGGTAAAATAACCAGCCTTTAGGCTATATATTTAAAGGACATAATCACAGAGGAGATATCAGATGCTCAAGACATAATCTTTAAAAAAATTACATAATAAAATGCAGCAAATATATGACAGACGTTTAAAACAGCAGTGGATCATTAATTAAATCCTTTTTTTCCACGAAGCGAAGCATCATCCACCCGCAGTTGTTTAATGTGGACACGAACTAAATAAATATAAACATATTTCCTTGAAAATGTATCTTTGTAACGAATTTCGTTTTGTATAATGTGTAACTTAATTTTGATGTGTATTTTGTTTGTCAGTTATGTACAGCATAAACAAGAGGAACGAATAACATCTGAGGTGAAGCGCTTTAACAGAAGCCCGCTATATGCTTTAGCGCCAAAACAGTTCATCAAACTATTTTTACGGTTTCATTTTAATTCAATAACTAAGCGCGGTCTGAGCAGCATGAACTGGACAGTCTTTTCGCAGCACTGATAGATTTCTTGGGTTACCTCGGAAGAATAAACTCGGATGGAGCTCAAAAGCTCGATGTGTAAATGGAGAGGCTCCCCGGCTGGCTCCCCGCATGTTTTCGTTGTGATGCGCGATTTGTAAATTGAGAGTCTGCTATTCGTGCTAGTCTGTCAGACAAATTTGGTTAAAACACGCGCGGATATATCGGAGATATGCGCATAACAAGGGTTTTTGCATGCCGCAATATGGGATGTCAAGAGGGTGACAGCATAGGTAAACTGCACACACTTGATAATGTAATGCGTGGATGCGTCTCACAGCGCAAAGCATAACTAAACCTTTACATGTCCATGCTTAATCAGTCATCGATAAGGTCTATCGATAAAACCGTTATCAACAACTAATAGATAAATACATTAAAGTATATTTCACCCTAAATTCACCATACTCACCATTATAAGGAGAGTTCATCCAAAACTGAAAATTATGTGACCTTTAACTCAAGTTGTTCCAAACCGGGGTTTTTTTTTTCTGATGTTGAACAATAATATTCAATTACTTGTAGGTAATGTCTTTGGTTGTTGAAAACTTGAACAGTAAATGCTGAATAAAGATTGTTCTTTTGTTTATAATTTTATTATTTATATTGTCAGACAGCTAAAATATTTCACTAAATGTGTTAAATCAGCTGCACAAAGCCATTGGCATGCTGAAAATCTTATATAATTGATAGATATAAAGATTTTACATTTATCGAGATAAATATCGATATCGACTGATATGAAAAAATTATCGTGATAATTTTTTTTGCCATATCGCCCAGCTCTACCTGCGCGTGATTATGAAAGTGCTTCTGACATCCGATTCCTTCAGAAACAGACAAACGTGAGAGTGAAGCACGATAAAACAAAGGAGAAGCTGGAAAAAAACAAAGGAGCAAATGATTCTTTCAGCAACCTAAAAAAATAAACATACTGCCATGTTTAACCATCATCGTCACCTTTTGGACTATTATAAATTCAGAATGACAGAATTACTTGTTAAATGTGTTACTGGTGAAGATTAAAGATACAAATGAGAGGTTTGCACTGACTGTAGGCTATACAGTATGTTACGTGTTGTTTTTAAACCCAAATGAAAACTACATGTATGCTGTGTCGATTTTCTGTAATAATATAAAATGTAATATTTGGTGAAATATCAGAGACTGTAAGTGTCTGTATGTCTTCATTTATGTTGCATTTATTTATACATTTTATATAATTGCATTTATACACAATTTATACATTATATTTAAAACATGTATACACAAGTATTTATATGTATAAATCATCTGTTCTGTGAGAAGTGCTTCTCGTATGATTTGAGAACGACCCGTGCAGCTTTATTTCGACATTTCCTCAAGCGAAAGTGACGTCGACTGCAACTTTCTGTCTTACAACATGCCATTGGTACCTTTTTGGCAGTGGAGACACAAGCCTAATAAAGGTGACCCGTACTGAACCATACCGTACCACTCAGTGGAAATGGGCCATAGATAACCAAGTGATTTAAACCGTTCTACAAAATGCAACCATTTTGCATACACAGTGCAATTTGTTTGAACATATTCCTCTTGGACAATACTTGATGTGTTTTTGTTGTTGTTTTTAATGTAGGTGTGAGAAGTTGGCCGACATGATCTGGCAAAACAGACAGCAGATTCGTAGAGTTGAACACTTGACTCAGCAGCTGCCCATACCGGGACCCACAGAAGAACTGCTTACTGAACTCAACGCTATTGTCACAGACATCATATCAACACTCGTCACCAGGTATGCATGCAGTGACTGCTGTCTCTGTTTTCTTTTTCTGAGAAGCAATCATTTCAGCATTTTTTTTGCTTTTGGTTTCTTTACAGCACATTTATTATTGAGAAGCAGCCTCCTCAAGTGCTGAAGACCCAAACCAAATTTTCAGCAACAGTTCGGTTGCTGGTTGGAGGGAAGCTCAATGTCCATATGAATCCTCCACAGGTTAAAGCCACCATCATAAGTGAACAGCAGGCCAAGGCGATACTCAAGAATGAAAACACCCGCAAGTAAGATTACAAAGTTGGATTGTTAAACTGAAATCTCCTTTAAATTGCAAACGTCTTTAGAGCGGCTCCTCTTTTTTGTTTTAATTATAAATCAGCAACTGACTTAAAAAGAATAGTTCACCCAAAAAGAATTCTTGTTTGGATTTGATCTTCTGTTATGGTTGCATCACAACGTTTTCTGAGGTTTAGGATGTAGGCTTGTGACAATAATCAATATATTGACTTATTGCGCAATACATGGGCATGACCTTAATCAGTTTGGTAATGCACTATATATTGCCCATACATACCTGTTATAGAAACATTTTTAATGATTGTGCAACATTTTTATCTATGTTGGAGGTGTCTGTATGGTCCAAAAAACACTTACTATTTACTAGGGCTGGGTATTGCAAAATAGTGATAATTCAATAGTTATAATTATTGAATATGTTTTAACTATACATTTAGGAATATTAGGATTTTTATTTAACCACTTTATTTTAATTTACCAACATTACTAAGGCAAATTGTTTTAATAGTCAAAAACAAAAATACTTAAACAAAAATATCTCATCTCTTTATAATAAAATAAACATAAGTGGTAAAGAGATTCTTAAACTTGATAAATAAAATGTTACAAAGTGCTTGCAATGCCAAAGTGTAAATACTGAACAATCAATGCAAACTTTAAGGTGTTAATAATAATGATAGAGTAATTGTTAAACTCTGTCCACAACACAAATTGTGATAATCAAATTTGATCTTTCAATTAAACGAACAAAACATCATTATTAAAATACATATTGCAACATTACAAATCATGAAGTTGAATGACTACATTACCCTCTATGCTAAAAAATCTTTTAGATGGGGCGCTACTTGCTAGGATCCACAAGAAAAGAAACCAAAAAGACACTCTGGCAGCATTTTTAAATCCTTTTTTATTTACAATCACCACACTGCTGCTAGCCATCGCACTCATTTTCACGTGTGTTTCTCTGACCTGAAGTGACAAGCATGTACGCGTTGATTTCTTGACCATTTACAATAAACTTTGCGTTCGTGTCCCCCGGCGTCTCTCACAACTTGCTAATAATCAAACTTTTCCTCAGGATGACAAATGAACAAACAGCTCCGATGCATGTTTATGGAGGAAAGTAAAAAGCATGAAGTTGATGTGAAGCATGAAGTAGTGTCTGAGTGTGCTGTGTTTATTTGAGGTAATTAATCTGCCGTCATTACTGAAATGTGTATATTCCAAGTGTGAAGCAGATTGGTTAGTTTTACTTACATGAATTGCAGTGGCCCTCACAGCATTCAGAAAAGTTCCGATGTTTTCAACTAGGTGGGGCTGGAAATAGCGCACCTGGTGGTTCACATGCTTACACCCTAAGCTTATTTGCACTGCTTCCAAGGCTCAGCAGCCACATTTTAATAAAACTATAGCGCTTAATACCGAAGCTACATAGCAAGAGCTCTATTTTGACGGTCCATGCGCAGAGCGAAAAACGCAGGGCACAAACGCTTTCAGGGCATGTCAGGACGCGTTTTTGCTAATTTAAGAACGGGAAATCTGCCTTGCGCCAAGGCGCATGGGCTAAAAGGGTTGAGTTTATTTTCTTAATGACTTATAGGTGTGTTTTGAGAATAAAAAAAATTAGAGTCTTATCTCCCATTCCCTTTAAGACCGAGCTGCGTCGCGCCAAGAGCGCATTCGCTATTTACAGGACGCAAAGTAAGTCTAAGTGGAAAAAATGAGCATTTCACAAGCAAACAGTTAACAGTTTTTTTTAACAGAAAACTGTTGAACAGAGCATCTACTGCGTGAGAATGAGACAAATGGATCTACTTTCACTTTCGCTCTTGGATAGGGAAACCTTTACGCACAGACATCAATTAGCCTACAAATAATTAATTTCAATTGTTAAGCGCAAAGATTTGTTTCAAAACTATTTCTAAATTCAGTTTTAATTTCTAGCAAATGAATAAATGAACAATAATGACCAAGTGTGGTCAAAATACTGAGTTATTTCCAAATACACCTGCCATGCCCCATATGGTCTAAAACCTGACAGGTGGGCAAATCTAAGCTTGTTTTTAATAAAACAAATATAAATATGGATATATTAAATAATACTGCTAATAATAATAACAATATACAACAGCAAATTGTTATGAATGAACTGAAAAAGCCTCCCGAAGTGAAGAAGACATAAAAGCAGTGGTTTTTCATATTTATGTAGGCTAGAAAATAATATGTTTTGTAATATTTTAATCCTTTATATTTATGTCCTATATCTATTCTTATTATATCCTATATATATCCTTAATATTTAAATGTTTTATTTTTTCATATGTAAAGACATTTGCCTATTGCTCTCTTGTGCGTATTAAGCAGTGTGTAAGCGAGGCGCAACTCTGCGCCGGAGTTTAGACCGGGTTAGTTTTGGTCTAATGAAAAATCTTTTATAGTTTCTCAAAATAGCGACGCGCCAGCGGTCCGCCTCAGAAAGCCTTCCTTTTTAGACCAGAACGCCTATGGGCGCACAAAAGACTGCTAATGCATTTGCTATTTAAACAGCGTAGCGCAACGCCTCAAGACGACTCTTGCACCAAGCTGAAACTACCAAAAGACTATTGCGCCGCGTCTTGCGCCCCACTGCGCTGGGTGTATCATAGGGCCCCAAATTTTATTTTTATCAATAATGACAATTGTGTTCAGTCAATAAATATCAATATTGAATTTATCGCCCAGCCCTACTGTTTACTATAAATTACTATAGTATGTTTTCATGTGGGTGTCTGAAAACTGAAAATAGATCTGGTACCAGACATCACAGTCTATTATTTTTTTTACATTTAATATTATTTATTTAGGATATGCGTTTTTACTTTCTGATTCCCTGTGCCTAATTATTAAATTGTTAAAATGACTATAATTACATTAAATACTCCTTAGAATAAAATAGTATGTGTTCTTTGGATATATATATATATATATATATATATATATATCATGACAGGCTATTAAGATGTGCATACAAAGAAACCTTCATGAAAATGTTTCCACTGTTTTAAACCCCCCCCCCTGTAGAAAATCATTCACAATTTTGTTCCTAAATTTTCACATTTGGTTGAATTAATTTTTAAAATGACATGTTTATTCTCTCTTTACGCTGGAGTGAAAGCAGCGGAGATATTCTAAACAACAATTGTGTGATGGAGTATCATCAAACCACTGGTAACCTGAGTGCACACTTCAGAACCATGGTAATTTGCACTTAAATGTTTCACATCACTTTCATAATTCACATTATTAAGTGTATCTGCATGCACCACAAAATGCTGTTCACTATACAATTAAACTGAAAATCTAAAGAAAGATAGAATGAAGTTGCCTTTTTAAAAATAATTTGCCCAATAGATAGACTTGTTACCCAAAAGTGAGATGTAATTCGTAATTTTTTTAGGGACCGAGCACTGGTGGTGCATGGGCCCCATGAGAAATGCTCCATTTATTATTATTCCGTTTTGGAAAGAAACACATTTTTCAGGGTCTAAATTTATAGCACAGACATGCCCTCGAGCTACGTATTACGCACACATACAAAAAGTTTTTGCCATTTCCAGACATTGTAATCTAACAAAGACCTCCTAGGGATTTTATCAGATCAACACCATAATTAGGTATTGTCATCTGAAGGCATTGGGGATGTTAAATTAAGAAGATCTAGAGTTTTCTTCAAAGGGCGTGTACATAGTGGCCTTAGAACTTTGATATTTTGCCAGGAAACGCCACTAATATTGTTGTAACCCCAGCATGCATTGTCTGATCTGCCTTAAAATGCACACATTTGATTCCACATTGAGTCCTGACCTGAACACGTTTACATTCCAATATCCAGTATCCACCCACTGGCAACAGGAAATGACATGTTTTACACTATAACAAACTCCTCCTAGATATTTTATCAGATTAAATCCAATTAAATCCAATTTCCAATTGCTTTTGATGAGCACAAAAAAGACAACAACATCAAGGGATCACAAAATGGTCTATGCTATACGTATCATGTTCCAAATATTCTGGGGATTTTAGATTGTTTTATTAAAAACACACTTGAGTTTTAACACATTACTTGACAAAAAGTACATTAAACTAGCATAAAAACTAAATTTTGGGCATTTCAAGGAATTAATCTGGTTAAAAGGCCTTACAAGTCAACAAGATTACTTTTTTTTATTGGTGTTGTCATTTGATTCAGTGATATATTTTATTTTAGATGAAAATAGTTTGAGAGGTACTATTAATTTTTAGCATTGTCTTGTGATTGTTTTTTTTTTTTCTCTTGTTCACAGTCTCTGAAACGTATTAAGCGGTCAGACCGTCGTGGTGCAGAGTCAGTAACTGAAGAGAAGTTTACGATTCTTTTTGAGTCTCAATTCAGTGTGGGAGTAAATGAACTTGTGTTTCATGTGAAGGTGATATTTTGAGCTAAACCAGAAATCTTTTCATAGTTATTGCTATTTGGTTCCTGCTATTATGCAATTTGAGTTGTTAATGAGTATTGGCCTTTTTTGTTCTCGTGCAGACATTATCCCTGCCTGTTGTGGTCATCGTTCATGGGAGTCAAGACAATAATGCAACAGCGACAGTATTGTGGGATAATGCTTTCTCTGAGCCGGTAAGAGAACGTATCAATTGCTTTTGCATTACAAAAAGTTTTTTTTTTAACCTTGTGTTTTGGAAATGCACAATTGTTTCTGATGGAAATAATAATAATAATAATAATTATTATTATTATATAAATAAACAAAAAAATATATTATTTATTGCTCATCTAAATAAATGGACAGAACTTCCAAACATGACAATTAAATAACTAAAATATTATTTTAAAGTGTACTACAAGTGGAACAGTGCCACTAGTTTGCTTATGCAATTCTTTTTAAAGTAAAATTGAATGTGGCCAAGTTTGGTGTCCAATACTAATTCTTTGCATTAAACATATTGAAGTGCACCCATTGTAGTGAACACACACATACATCCGCCCACCTACAATCAAAAGTACATTTGATTTATGTTATAGCTTGTGGGTTTTGAAGACTGAACTTTAACAATTTGTAATTTACTTGTAACAAAAATAAAGTACGCTTTAATATGACTTTTCAAGCATGTATGAACTTACACAGGCATATACTTAAAGTATACTAAATATAACACATAAAAGTACACTAAATACATAAAAATTTATGCATTACTATAAATTGATTAAAAGTTTTTTTTTTTTTAATTTTACAATAATTAACCCCTGAAAAAGCCAGAGCAAAGCAAATACTACCAGTTTCTGTGGTATAAATACAGCAATACAAAATATAAAAGTGAGAGATCGACTTAGACTTGTCACTTACCTGATTTTTAATGATTTGTTCTGCTGCAGATTGAAATTTACGCTGAGAAAATGCTGTTTTTCTGCTCTTGTGGTGTCAACCATCACTTTCTTTGGTCTCCTCAGACAGGCTGATGGTGGCCTAGGCACTGAATCTGTCGCTCCAAAATTAGAAATATTTTAAAATAAGCACTTTCCTTATAAATAACTGCATAGTTGCAATCTAAAAAACTACATTCTTGACTAAAAATACTTAATGTTGACCAACAGCAGCAATATTTGTCAAACTGTACAGTGTCCTCTGCTTGTCGCTGTATGTAGGTGGAGTAATACACAAGAGTGAAGTGTTAAAAGGCTGAATGCAGAATATTACACAGCTATCAGCCAATCAGATTCAAGAACCAGACAGAACAGTTGTGTGTGTGTGTGTGTTTGTGTGTGTGTGTGTGTGTGTGTGTGTGTGTGTGTGTGTGTGTACACATATATATGTGTATACAGTATATAGTATACAGTGTATATATATATATATATATATATATATATATATATATATATATATATATATATATATATATATATATATAGTAAGCAATTATTTAAAATGTTTATAAATATTTAAAAATTTAACAAACTATATAATTTATTTTTTTAGTGTGAGCCTTTTTTTTAAACCATTACTGGTGTGTAACTTGTGTACTGGTGATATATTTTAAGATATTTCAATGCAAGTTATTTTAGTATAGTCAGTTAGACATGCAGTGTAGTCTTGGCCTTAATCTCCAGGGCAGTATGTAATATTATGTGAAAACATTTAACAAGCCTCTCATTCAAAGACTAAAAACAACTACAATCCAAATATATTTATGGTAGGTTTACACCATATGCAGTATTAATTTACATTAGTAAATTACATACAAAGTAGATGGAAATGCGTGAATACTGGTGAGTTATTGCCACATAGAATTTACCTCAGTCGTGTCTACCATGCAAGTTCAAATTATTAAACTAAAGCACACAATTTGCATTGGGGGAAAAACATCCTGCAAATAAAATGGAGTGCGTTTACATGGTCATTCCTGTCTCGTGTGAACCCAGCATTTCAATATGTAGTTGTACAATGAAGTATATGTCAATGAACAAGCATACAGAGGGGGCCTTTAAAAATGCACGTCTCAGAGAACAGAATGCCATTACTAACCGCGGTTCACCGCAGTACTCAGGGAAAATAAGAGAGGCATATGAGTGTGTTCTGCATATTGTTAGATCTAAAAGATTTGTTAAGATGAGTGTTTTATATTAAATATAAAGTGATGGGAACAAGTGTTTACCCCCTTACTGATTTCTTTTTTTTGCATGTTTGTCACACTTTAATGTTTCAGATCATTAAACAAATTTAAACAATAGTTAATACAAGATAACACAAGTAAACATCATGTAGTTTTGAAATCAAGGTTTTTATTATTAAGGGAAAACAAAATATAAAACTACACAGCTCTGTGTTAAAAAGTGTTGGGCCACTCTTATCAACTAGATTTAAGCATTTTCAATAATATACAGTGCAGGACTCGAAATTGCGACCATTTTAGTCCCATATGCGCCCGGAATTTTATCTATGCGACCTCAAAATATATTTGGGAGCATTTATGCGAGTGCATAAAATTGTTGTGTTCGACCAGTTTTTCTGCTGAATCTTCACCACATGCGCGGATTTGGGAGACATTCTCGCTGAATGCATCTCTGCACTTGAAACACGAAACGCAGCGCTCAGGAATGGTTTAAAACAGTTGTCATGTCAATTTGCTGCAGTAAACAAAGCCAAGTCCTTAATGCTTGCCCCGCCTTCGCGCTCTTCTTATTGGCCCACCACTGCTCTAGCACTGAAATATCAGCTGTCAATCACTCAGTCAATGCTTTCTGGCTTGGGATGACAGGGAGAGCTACTACTGCGAAAAATTGTAAAGCGCTGAACATGAGAATGAAGATAACACTGACAAGTTTTGTTTTAGAAACCATGGCATCTAAAGTTACAAATAATGACGCATCTTACTAGTGATCATGTGCTGAATGTTAATCCACCATCTACAGTTTTCGAAGAGTGGATAAGAGACTTACATTGGCTTCAAGTCTGCTATAAAAAGTCTGGGATAAAATTTTCAGGTAACTGCTTGCCACATCTAGCACGAGCTTCTGTTAAATCCTTAATTTAATCACCAGATACTGTCCGCCATGCAAGTGGCAGCTATATGTCGATTTAACACCACGTACACCATCGCAAACAGGCTTACACTGAGTAAACTAATATCGCTACTCATGAAAAGACCGGTATATATCAAAAACATCAGTGCAATATCAGACAGCTCCCATGAGTACAGCACAGTTAGATCGTTAACAGATTCAATTATCTCAAGCAATGAGTGCAGGGCCGGTGAGCGCTCTGTGTACCTTTGGTCACTCAGTTCTGTTATAAAAATCTATTTTCTTGTGATAACGGGATTTTGTTGAGACATATTTTCCTCACGCTTGCGTATATATTTTTTTCTTGTTAGTTTGATTACTGATGATTTCAAATGGAATAAATATGTTTGTATAAAACTTGTTATAACGGTGTAACAAAACTGTGGAGGAATTTTGACACGCTCATTTTCGCAGAATTGTTGTGATTCAGCCACATTGGAGTTTTTTTTTTAGCACGACCACAGCATGCCACAGGACCTCCTTTAAATTCAAAACAGCACTTTAACAAGGCTACTACAAAGTCTTAATTTAGTTTTTCTTCAGCCATTCAGAAGTGGACTTGCCAGTGTGCTTTGGATTGTTGTCCTACTGCAGGACTCAAGTTTGCTTCAGCTACATATTTTAGTACACAGCAAAATTCTTATTTCCATTTATCACAGCTAGTCTTTCAGATCCTGAAGCAGCCAAATATACTAAGACTACACTGTCAGTATAAGTAATGTATACTTAAGTGCAATTTTTAAGTACAATTCAGAGAAGTACATAAAAAGTTGTCTAAAGGTATACTTTTTGTTTGTTTGTTTATTAAATCAATTATACTTATAGTATACTAGAATAAATTTTGTTTTCTTAAGGAAACTCTGAATCTTTATTCTCTAGGCCACAAGTCCCCAAGGTTTTGGACACAAACATTTTTTTTTTTTTTAAATTTAAATTGAGTTACTGGTCTTTAAAGCTTCTTGTTCTAACCAAACATGATGTTCAATGCAGAGTAAAAGTATGGCTGTGCACTTATTTGAACATTAATCACAGTGTTCAAAATGTATTTGTGTTTTTAATATACAGGAAGCTTATTTTGTCTTGTGTAATGGTAAGTTGCTGTGTGTATTTGTATGGAGCTGCGATACTTATAATACCATTAGAGTGAAATAACATGGTGTGAATAGTAGCTTTCATTAATTGTCTCTCCTCCTCCACTTCACTGAACTTGTCCATTTTCATTGAAATAGTAGAGTTTTATGACAAAACTAGAAGATATTATTAAAAATGTTGGTTACTAAACCACTGACAGTAGAATAAAGAAACTTTAGGGTGACCAAATGGGGTGTAAATTATCATGTTTGAGTAAACTACTTCTTTTAGACACACTGATCTTTAAACAGGGTCTTGAATATGTTTTTTTATAAAACCAAACTGTCGTGATGTGCAAATATTTTGGGTTTGCAACCTACTACAGTGTTTACAAAAGAGTGCCTGAAGTTCTTCATTATGTCTCCTTAGGGTCGAGTGCCATTTGTGGTGCCTGATAAAGTGGTGTGGCCACAGCTGTGTGAGGCTCTTAATATGAAATATAAATCAGAGGTTCAGAGCGACAGAGGCCTTTCAGAAGATAATCTGGTGTTCCTCGCTCAGAAAGCCTTCAGCAGCTCCAGCAACAATCCTGAGGACTACAGCAGCATGACCATCACCTGGTCTCAGTTTAATAGGGTAACCATCACTAATACCATTATCTATACATCCGCTGTTATATCAGATGAACACACTGTTCTGAACACAATTTGACCCTTTCAAGATAACGATTGTGATTTAAAATGTGTGTATATATATATATATATATATATATATATATATATATATATATATATTATTCATTCTTTCATTTTCTTTTCGGCTTAGTCCCTTTTTTAATCTGTGGTTGCCACAGCAGAATGTACCGTCAACTTATCTAGCATATATTTTTATGCAGCGGATGCCCTTCCAGCTGCAACCCATCACTGGGAAACAGCCTCAGGGAAACATACAAACTCATTCACACTTATACACTACGGACCTGTACTGCCTGTCTTTGGGCCTGTGGGGGAAACAGGATCACCCCGGAAGAAACCCACCTGAACACAGGAAGAACATGCAAACTACACACAGAAATGGCAACTGACCCAGCTGAGACTCGTATTGTGACCCAGTTCCTAAAGAAATGGATTTTTAAATGAGAAAACAGTGGGCGTGGCTTGTTTAAAAAAGGTTTCTGGAGAGTTCTTAGACCCTAACAGACACCTCCTTTTCACCATTTCTGTTTGTTGTCATAGTGTTGTTAAAACTGACAGTTTGAGGGACGTGGTTCGGTTCGTTAATCACACCCAATCCCTCAGACAGATAACAAACAGGAGGTGTAATTGTAGATTTTAATTTTAGATTTTAAAGTTTTCTTTCTTAAAGACATGACAGTGTAAGCTACCAAAATCAATATAAGGGTTCGAAATTGCGATAGTTTTGGATGCATATGTGCCCAAAATTTTATCTATCTGAAAATGAAATAGATTTAAGAGCATATGTGCGAGTGCATAAATTGTTGCAGTGTGACCTGTTTTCAATGCAAAAATGTTCACTGCATGCACAGATTTAGGAGACATTCACACAGAATGCATCTTTGCACCTGAAAAAAATACCAAACACAGTGCTCAGGAATGGTGAAAAACAATGCTTGCCCCACCTTCAAGCTTTTATTATTGGCCTACTGTGCAGTAACTGAACATGAATGGACTGGTTAATATCAACTGTCAATCACTCAATGCGTTCTTACTTTAGATGACAGGTAGTTACAACTGGGAAAATTTAAATGGCTGCATACAAGAGAACATTATCAACACAGATTTAGTTTTAGAAATTAAAAAGTGCTTTTATTCACTGAGATCAAACTAATATTGCAGGTCATGAAAAGATTTTTTTAAATGGCATTTTAGAACGACAACGATTTGACATCCACAGTGGCGTGTAGCATTTCTGAGCAGCCCTCCTTCCTCTCTGCCTCTGAAAATACACATCACGTGACCACACAGACACAGACGCACATACAGCCTTGGGCTCGAGACAGCAGGTCCAGGCAGTCAGAGGACTGCTTCAATCTTTCACTCACTTGTACTTAGTCATTTTAGCGAACACCACAGATATTGTTGGCTGGTTCCTGTTGGTTGTGCGTCTTTTTTACCGACGCCATTATAACGACACAGATCACTGCCTATTCACGAGTCCCGCAGAAAAAGTGATTGATAGGTGGTAATTATGTGTGTATCTTGCCTTTATTTGTTTACTGTATGATTTGTTTATGGGTAAAACAAAGACCATGCAGGTCAGGTAGTTTAAACGGTAGGCTACAAATAATTAATTGGTCATTGATTAATTAATTATTTATAATCGAAAATCGAAACGAATCGTGCCTTCAGAATCGAAAATGTAATCAAATCGAGGATTTGGAGGATCGTGACACCCTTATAATCGATATGGTCAACACATTATCTACTAATGTAAGACCAATTTACTTTTCAATGTAAAAAGTAAAGAAAAAAAAACCTTTTTATGTAAATAATTTAAATTATCTTTCAGAAAAGGTGTGTTAAATATATAAGCAAATATTGTTTTAACTTGCTACAAAGAAATATACATATTCTAGGCATTTTAGAGGTCAATTCATAATATCTAAAAATATAACATTATATAAGCTATTATTTTTTTTGTGAGAGATTTATAAAACCAATGAAATTAACATCATTTTTAGCCTGTAAATACATGAAATATCAAACATAAAGTAATAGTTCTCTGCAAGAAAGGCTATTATTTAGGCCTTATAATTAGTGAATTTTATTTATAAACTAATTTCAAGAGGATCACGCATTTATAATTGACCACGGCTGGTCTCGCATTAGCTAATTCACCAATCAGATGATTCCCAACTCACTTTAAATAACCAGAGTTTCTTACTTCAGACATCGTCTTTCATAGAATGTGTATACAACTCAGATATGTCAGAATGCATTTAGATCTTTTTCTTGTTATGATCTGCATATTGCTGCTTGTATTCTTTATAAAAAGAAGTACAATTTGTTTATATTCAAAACATTACATTTAAATGTGAAATTGCTAAAAAAAACATGAAATTAATGACATGAAGTATTTAATCTTGGCTGTTTTTGTGTTAACAGGAGAGTTTACCAGGCAGGAACTTTACATTTTGGCAGTGGTTTGATGGAGTCATTGAATTAATGAAAAAACATCTAAAGTCTCACTGGAATGATGGGTAAAAACTGATTCAGCACACTTGGTCAGTAATACCTGTACAGTTGGTAAAATGTAGTGAATTCATCTGCAGAGCGATTTTGGGTTTTCTGAACAAGCAGCAGGCTCAAGACATGTTGATGTCCAAACCAAATGGCACGTTCCTCCTGCGCTTCAGTGACTCTGAAATTGGAGGAATCACTATTGCATGGGTCGCAGAAAACCCGAACAAAGCAGGTAAGAAACTGGATGCTAAGACTGCTAATGCGAATGAAGCCATCACTGAAGCCATCAAATTAAGTACATGTGTGTTTTGTTTCACAGGGGAACGGATGGTTTGGAACTTGATGCCCTTCACTACCAAAGATTTCTCCATCCGCTCTCTGGCCGATCGAATCAGTGATCTGAACCATTTGCTCTTCCTCTATCCCAGTCAGCCCAAAGAGGAAGTCTTCTCCCGTTACTGCACACCTCCAAACTGTATGCATGTCTTTTTTTCCAGATCTTTTAGAAATATTCCAAGCTTTTTTGTAAGCATAGTTTGTTACTTGCCACAGTGATGTTTCTCAGCTCTCAGGAATGCAAACTTTGCATGCATATAGATATATTTATGATAAGGTTTCTGTTTAGAATGTGTTTTTGTAGAATTGAGTGTGTGAACCCCATGGCCAACTTAAGGTGTTTAAAGTTAAAAAGTCTCATTAATTATTTACCTTCATGTCATTCCAGCCCTCTGAGACCTTTGTTCGTCAACAAAAATCAAGATATTTTAGATTAAATCCGAGAGCTGTCTGACTCTCCATACACAGCAAGGGTTGTGAAATGTTTGAAGTTGAACTGCAATCATGCGAAGCTCCAAGAACATTTTTGTGCACTGTAAAACTCTAAAAATCACTGTTTGCTTATGTCCTCCAATATTTAATTTCATCTTGATAAGTCTACTGAGCCAGTAACATGACTGAATGTGCACGCTCAGCACAATGCTTGTGCATTCTAACAAAATCTAACATTGCTTAGTTTTAGTCATTTTAAATGCATTTTGTCATAAACTAAATTCACTGTTCATTTATTAGATGAGTGGATCAGACTGCACACCTTCATAGTTTGCTGTCACTTTACATTACATTACTCAGTAGTGCTGCACAAATTCTGGCTAAAATGAGAATTTAGATTTGTCCTGGTTGGTAATGCACAGTAAATTGATGACATCAGAATACAACTATTCATCATTTTAAAGTTGAATTATTATGTTTGAGACATATGTTTGTAATCTGCCATTAACAACATTATTATTTTATTATTTTAATTTTTATTTTAATTATTATTTTAATTATTTATTTTATTTTTATTATTTTATTCATTGGTAAAATCAGACATTTGTCATTATCAGATTCCCTCATGCATTAAATTCAACATTATATGGGCTAGAGTAGTTATACTGACACTGTTAAACATATATTCTCATGCACAAAACTTTGTTTGCTGTGAAAGAAAAAACATATCAAATGCTTGTCTTAATCATAACTCTAAAATGGGATATGATTATTTAAATGATGTTGGCACTTTTGGTTTCACTTTTACTGCCAAGTGCACTCTTGTCATGACTGCCGTTACTTTGAGGTAAAAAAAAATGCATGCAAATCATACTTTCCCTGTGGCTCATAAACGATTGCTCTGTGCAACAAACTGAAAGTTATGTACAACTTTATTCACAATCAGTCTATGGAGGTTCTGTTCCCACATCATTCGCGGGCAAGTGCTTGTCCTCTCAGTAGAAAACAAACAGCGCATCAGCTCATGTGCACCCTGCAAGGTTATTATAGTTAACGAAAACGAACAAAAAAACGAAAACTAAAATGTAAAATAATTGTCGTTAACTGAAATAAAAATAAAAACGAGAGTTTTTTTCAAAAACTAGAACTGAAACTGTATTGTGTACATACAAAACTAACTGAAACTAACTAGAATTATAGCAAAAACCTCATTCGTTTTCGTATTTGTAAATGTATTTAATAAATAATCTTACTGTAAGCCTTTTAGAAGTAAATATAATCCGTGCTGCAGGGGTTTTTGTTTGATTCTTTCGCACCTCAGAGTCTCCTTCCCTCATTGGCCAGATCGAGCCGGTTCTCCTCGAGTCATCCTCGCTGTTGCTCCCGCAACAAAAACGCGTGGACATGACAGCACTGTAAGCACTTATTCACCGACTTCTTACTTAATAACAAGCCTAATACCCCCCTCTGACTCTAAAATATCCAATATATGCTCTCATTCAGTTATTAGAACAGTAACGTTACATTGAGGGGCAGTGAACCGATAATACTGCGCATGCGTGATTCAGTGAACCAAACACAAATGATACAGCCTGCTGTATGACTGAACTGAACTTGGAACAACTGCAGCGCGGGTGAACTGAGGGCTTAACTGAGAGCATTTGGTAAAAAACGTAAGTTTATTTTCGTAACAGAAAATCGTAATGGAATTGAAATAAGTGAAGCATGATTCAGTTGGGTTTACAGTTAGTAAAACTTTACTGTAAGACATTTTTCAGATCATGATGATGTTTTAACTGACTGTAATGACTATTGCTGACTACATAATGTTGAGTCCAAACATCCGCGTTAGAAATCTGAATTTTCCATCACCAGACCCGGATTAATAATTCAGAGGCCTCTGGGCACAATGTCTTGTAGGCCCCCAATAGCCGCACCCTGTAGTTGAATAAAAAAATAAGATTAATATAATATTTGTTAAATAAAATTCATCTATAATGTATTGCCCACATTTTTTAAATAAATTATATACAGTACATATATTTCTAGTCTACAGAGATTTAACTTATTTTTAAAGCATTTAAAGCAAACTTTTAAAAAAATACTAATACAACTAGGGGAAATTAATGGATTTTAATATACTTGTTCAAGTTCACTGAAGCAGTACTAAAATTTATATTTAAGGGAATTTTTAATGTATAACTTCTACAAACTTATAATGCACATGATTTGGATAACACCTCTCCAATCCAGTTCTATGAATCTCAGTCCTCTATAATACACACACTTATTAATTATTCCTACTCTTCATGCTCCTGATGGAGAGTACCCATAATGTGCCCATAATGCCCATTGGTTAATCCGGCCCTGCCCATCACCACGCTTAACCTCACAAGCAGCCTTGCACACAAATTGTACTTAGGGCTGCTTTCTTGTGGGCTGTTGTATTTGAATTTGAGGATGGGTAGATGGTTGTGGTAGATGATAGAGTTCATGTGTCCTCTAAATACATGTTGCAAAAAGTTTATGACTGCGTTTTTAATTATACAATATTTATCCTGTTGATTTTGAATCTCCCACCTAACAAATATCCTCATTTAGAAAAAAACTAAAACTAATACTAAAACTAATAAAAAATAAACTAAGACTTTTTAAAATATAAAAACTAATAAAAACTAGGAAATCTGCCTCTAAAACTAATAAAAACTAACTGAATTTGAAAATAAAAAGTCAAACCGAAATAGAAACTAAAACTAATGAAAAATCCAAAACTATTATAACCTTGGCACCCTGACAAGCAAGAGAAAACATTGTCAAAGTTCATTATACAGTTTGTTTTTGCCATGCAAAAGTGTTCTTGGAGCTTGGCATGATTACATTCGAAGTCCACTGATGTCACATATCACTGTTTTTGGCTTCTTTTCTGAAATTAAGAATGAAAGACCTCTCTTTTTTGATATAAAATGTTAATTTATTTTCTGAAGATGTATAAAGGTCTCAGGGGATTGGAAAGCATGAGGGTGAATAATTAATAACAGACTTTTTCATTATTTAGTGAACTCGGATTCCAATTATGCTACTCTAAAGGTTTCTAATTTGGTTTTAGAGGTCTTCTACACCGTACACATAGTGTATTAAGTGATTCATTCAAGGATTTGGTTTCTCCACACCCCTCTATTCCTATAGCATAATGTGCTCTGATTAGTCAGATGGTCCAGTCTGTTGTGACTGTTCTACAACCTACATAGGTGTCAGAAAAACATTACTTTGTCTTGGGGCATACTCACATTAGGTACAGTTGCCTTGAACTGTGCCGAAGCGCGATTGTCCTCCCTCCCCTCTTCCCTTCGGCTTGTACCATTTTTACCTTCCGTACCTGAGCACGCTTACGTTATCAATGATGAGACTGTTCAGTTTAACAGGAAGAGAAGTGCTCTCGCTCAGCACAATGAAGACTCCTATAGTTATAATGTTTGTTGTTGTTTGTTTTGTTTTGTTTGGGATGCAATGACATGCAGTCAAATATTTTGCCGAACAGATCCGCCACATTTGACTCTCATTAACTGTCAAAGTCATGGTACTGCAGGTATTAGGTACTAAAGGTGCAGCTGACGTGCAGTAAGCGATTTGCGTCTTTACTTAACTACGACATTTCACGTTCATTGAAAATTAGGAATGATTAATAAATCCATATCAAACAGTCCCTTAAAAGTGACGTCTCGTCATCAGTTTTGGGCTCAGGTGCCAACTGAACTATGCCTGAGCCCGATTAAGAGCACCCACAATTCTCAAATGAACCGGGAAACGGGCCTGGGCACGGTTTGGATAACATAGTGTGTGTGTGCCCCTAATTTTCTTTTTCTTCAACACAGTGATGTGTATAGTAACAATAATAATGGTTTCACCTTATGGATTTTAAGGCTTTGTTCTCATCGTTTTGAAAAAATGTAAATGTTCTATGTAAATGAAGAATGCTGACTTTTTAGGTTTTGTGAATGGAGTTGCATTAAATAGTCTATAATGTAAATTTTCTTTTTACAGCTAAAGCAGTGGGGGATGGATATGTCAAACCAGAGATCAAGCAGGTGGTAAAGGTTGAGTGAGTATCTTTTGTGATTTTATTTATTTTTTTTTTTTATACAAATCAAAAACACAAACAAATACAGGACTCGAAATTGCGACCATTTTGGTCACATATGCGCCCGAAATTTTAACTATGCGACCTTAAAATATATTTAGGAGCATTTCTGTGAGTGCTTAAAATTGTTGTGTACGACCAGTTTTTACTGCAAAATGTTCACCACATGCGCGGATTCGGGAGACATACTCGCAGAATGCATCTCTAAGCTCTTTGTCTGCATTTGGAACGCGAAACGCAGCGCTCGGGGAATGGTTTAAAACAGTTGTCATGTCAACTTGCTGCAGTAAACAAATCCAATTCCTTAATGCTTGCCCCGCCTTTGTGCTCTTCTTATTGGCCCACCACTGCTCTAGCACTGAACGCGAACGATTGGTTAATATCAGCTGTCAATCACTCTGTCAGCGCCTTCTGGCAGATTTAGTTTTAGAAACCATGGCATCTAAAGTTACAAATAATGCCACAGCTTACTAGTGATCATGTGCTGAATGTTAACCACCATCTACACTTTTTTAAGAGTAAAAGACTTCCATTGGCTTTATGTCCGCTATTAAAAGTCTGTGGGATTGAGTTTTCAGGTAACTGTTTGCCACATCTAGCACGAGAGCTTCTGTTTAATCCTTCAGATAATCGCCAGATGCTGTCAGCCGTGCAAGTGGCAGCTATATGTCAAATTTAACACCACGTACACCATCGCAAACGGGCTTGCACTAAGTAAACTATTATCGCTACACCTAAAAAGACCGGTATTGCTATTAACATGTATGCATAAAATAAGGTAACTTACAGTATGTGTCAAAAGCATCAGTGCAATATCAGACAGCAATTGTGAGAACAGCACAGTTATACTGTTAACAGATTAATTCAAGCAGTGCATGCAGGGCCGGTGAGCACTCCGTGTGTGCTTTGGTCACTCAGTACTGTCATGAAAATTTATTTTCTTGTGATAACGGAATTTCGTTAAAACATATTTTCCTCACGCTTGCATATATATATGATTTATTTTTGCTTGTTAGTTTGATTAGTGTTGATTTCAAATACAACTAGACAGTAAAGTTCGTCGAGACAAACTTTGAGGCTGGCTTGACAAAGCCTGTTGGTAATAGTTTATTTAGTTTAAAAACAGTTTGAAAAAGTATAAGTAGCATGTTATTAGCATGATTCTAGCATAGATTAGCATGTTATTAGCATGAATTAGCATCTTATTAGTACGATTCTAGCATGGATTAGCATGTTATTAGCATGAATTAGCATGATTCTAGCACGATTTAGCATGTTACTAGCATAATTCTAGCATGAATTAGTGTGTTATTAGCATGATTGTAGTAAAATTAGCATGTTACTACCATGATTCTAGCATGAATTAGCATGTTATTAGCATGATTCTAGCATGAATTAGCATGTTATTAGCAAGATTCTAGTATGAACTAGCATGTCACTAGCATGATTCTAGTATGAATTAGCATGTCACTAGCATGAGTCTAGTATGAATTAGCATGTTACTAGCATGATTCTAGTATAAATTAGCATGTTATTAGCATGATTCTAGCATGAATTAGCATGTTATTAGCATGATTCTAGTATGAATTAGCATGTCACTAGCATGAGTCTAGTATGAATTAGCATGTTACTAGCATGATTCTAATCTAAATTAGCATGTTATTAGCATGATTCTAGCATGAATAAGCATGTTACTAGCATGATTCTAGCATGAATTAGCATGTTACTAGCATGATTCTAGTATGAATTAGCATGATTCTAGTGTGAATTAGCATGTTATTAGCATGATTCTAGTATGAGTTAGCATGTTATTAGCATGATTCTAGCATGAGTTAGCATGTTACTAGCATGATTCTAGCATAAATTAGCATGTTACTAGCATGATTCTAGGATGAACTAGCATGTTACTAGCATGATTCCAGTATGAATTAGCATGTTATTAGCATGATTCTAGCATGAATTAGCATGTTACTAGCATGATTCCAGTATGAATTAGCATGTTACTAGCATGAGTCTAGAATGAAATAGCATGTCATTAGGTTGATTCTAGTATGAATTAGCATGTTATTAGCATGATTCTAGCATGAATTAGCATGTTACTAGCATGATTCCAGTATGAATTAGCATGTTATTAGCATGATTCTAGCATGAATTAGCATGTTACTAGCATGATTCCAGTATGAATTAGCATGTTACTAGCACGATTTTAGCATGAATTAGCATGATTCTAGCATGAAGTTAGCATGTTGTTAGCATGATTCTAGCATGAATTAGCATGTTGTTAGCATGATTCTAGCACGAATTAGCAGGTGCTAAGGTGTTGCTAGGTGGTTGCTAAGGTGTTGATAGATTGTTGCTAGGGTGTCCTACGTGGTTGCTAGGTGGTTGCTAAGGTGTTGCTAGGCGGTTGCTAGGGTGTTTTGAGTGGTTGCTAGGTGGTTGCTAAGGTGTTGCTAGGTGGTTGCTAAGGTGTCCTAAGTGGTTGCTAGATGGTTGCTAGGGTATTCTGAGTGGTTGCTAAGGCGTTGCTAGGTGGTTGCTAGGGTGTTCTGAGTGGTTGCTAGGTGGTTGCTAAGGTATTGCTAGGTGGTTGCTAGGGTGTCCTGAGTGGTTGCTAGGTGGTTGCTAAGGCGTTGCTAGGCAGTTGCTAGGGTGTTCTGAGTGGTTGCTAGGTGGTTGCTAAGGTGTTGCTAGGTGGTTGCTAAGGTGTCCCAAGTGGTTGCTAGGTGGTTGCTAAGGTGTTGCTAGGTGGTTGCTAAGGTATTCTGAGTGGTTGCTAAGGCGTTGCTAGGCGGTTGCTAGGGTGTCCTGAGTGGTCGCTAGGCCCTTACTAAGGCATTACTAGGCCGTTGCTAGGTGGTTGCTAGGCGGTTGCTAGGGTAATTTGGGTGGTTGCTAGGCAGTTGCTAGGGTACCCTGGTTGGTTACTAGGCAAGCCTCACATACATGCTTGATAAAACATTTATACTTAGTAAGCATTTCTAGCAAGTTACAGTACTTGGCTAGTCAATATTAGCATGTAGCTAATCACTGCTAGCATGTGTAGCATTTAGGAAGTTCTGTTTGCTAGCATGAGTCAAACGAGCCAATCTCCAAGTCTCTACGATGTTCTGATGCTGAGATATAGCTGTTGATGAATGGTTGCTAGGGTACTCTGTTTTGTTGCTATGGGCGAGGTTACAGAGTGCACTTGAATGTGGTTGGCTGTCTAAGTCAAATAAACCAACCCCCATGTCTCTATGACACTGCTATGCAAAGATATGCATCTTGGCCTATTTTAATGGAAGTCTATGGAATCAATTTGGGGGCGTGGCTTGTGAGCTTCATTATCATATTGAGATGCTCATTGGTTGTCTGAGTCAGATGAGCCATCCCCCAAGTCAATAGGACACTGCTAAGCAAAGATATGCATGTAGGCCAGTTATTACCATGAGTCTAGTATGAATTAGCATGTTACTAGCATGATTCTTGTACAAATTAGCATGTCATTAGCATGTTTCCAGTATGAGTTAGCATGTCATTAGCATGATTAGCATATAAGTAGCATGTTGCTAGCATTATTGGCATGTCATTAGTATGTTACAATTATAAGCATTTGAAAGCACAGCTAATTACAGTCTATAGGACAGTTGCTAGGGTGCAGTATGTGGTAGTTAGGGGTGTGGCTAGAAAGTTAAAAGGCCATCAGTGATTGGCTGCTGGCTAGACTGAGTTAAATGAGCCCAGCCATTAGTCTCTATGACAGTCTGATGCAGAGTTATGAGCTCACAAAGTTTGATCCCATGTTAAGTCAATGAGAGTCTTTTGTAATGGAAGTCTACGGGACAGTTGCTAGGGTGCAGTATGTGGTAGTTAGGGGTGTGGCTAGAAAGTTAAAAGCTCATCAGTTATTGGCAGTTTGGTAGTCTGAGTTAAATGAGCTCAGCCATTAGTCTCTATGACAGTCTGATGCAGAGTTATGAGCTCACAAAGTTTGATCCCATGTAAAGTCAATGAGAGTCTTTTGTAATGGAAGTCTACGGGACAGTTGCTAGGGTGCAGTATGTGGTAGTTAGGGGTGTGGCTAGAAAGTTAAAAGCTCATCAGTTATTGGCAGTTTGGTATTCGGAGTTAAATGAGCTCAGCCATTAGTCTGTGGGACAGTCTGATGCAGAGTTATGAGCTCACAAAGTTTGATCCCATGTTAAGTCAATGAGAGTCTTTTGAATGGAAGTCTATGGGACAGTTTCTAGGGTCCAAAAGTGGTTGCTAGGGCGTGGCTAGAAAGTTTAAAGGTGGTCAGTCATTGACAGTTTGATAGTCTGAGTTAAATGAGCCCAGTTAGAGTTCTGTGCGACAGTCTGACGCAGAGTTACGAGGTCACAAAGTTTGGTCCAATGTTAAGTCTATGGGATTTTTCCGACAGTCCCGGGACGTTTTTTGGAAAACCGAAAGTCCAATCAGTCTGAGGAGATATAGCATACCGAGTCAGAATAGTTTGGAGGTCTGGTGTGAGTTTGGTGGTAATAGTTCGAAAGTTCAAGGAGGAGATAGATTTTGATTTTTAGAGTCAGAAGAAGAATAATAATAACTAGACAGTAAAGTTCGTCGAGACAAACTTTGAGGCTGGCTTGACAAAGCCTGTTGGTAATAGTTTATTTAGTTTAAAAACAGTTTGAAAAAGTATAAGTAGCATGTTATCAGCATGATTCTAGCATGAATTAGCATGATTCTAGCATGGATTAGCATGTTATTAGCATGAGTGTAGTACAAATTAGCATTTTATTAGCATGATTCTAGTATGAATTAGCATGTTATTAGCATGATTCTAGCATGAATTAGCATGTTACTAGCATGATTCTAGAATAAATTAGCATGTCACTAGCATGATTCTAGTAGAATTAGCATGCTACTAGCATGATTCTAGCATGAATTAGCATGTTACTAGTATGATTCTAGCATGAATTAGCATGTTACTGGCA